GATCTGTTGCCGGACACGAAAAAAGACAAAAAGGGAAAAAAAAAAAAAAAAAGATCGTGGATAAGGGTCTTCCAGGTAGCAGGCCCAGCACATAGGTATACAGGAAGATTGGACATGGCCTGTAGTGAACCGTAAGCGATTTTATCTGTCTGGAGACCACGGTGGCAGGGGGTGGCCAGAGACGAACTTAGAATGCCCTATTTAGAGTTTATCTCCCAGGCAAAGGAGCGGCATAGAAAGATGTTAAGATGGGGAATGGAACAAAGAAATTCACCTATTCATTAATTATGGGGGGAAAAGGTCATTTCAGAGCAATAATATTTTCAAGAAATCATAGCTATTATGACTTTCATTCAAGTATAAGGGGTACAAAGAAGGGATTGTTGGTGATGACAAATATTAGTCCTCATGGCCAGCTTAACATCAGCACGGCCAGGTTAAGCAACTTCCCCCTTCTGCCTCCCCTCTTTCCCTGTTTGCTCCAGGAACTGAGCAGTGAAATTCCTCTCCTGGGAAGGGGTAAACATGACCATTATCATCAAAGGAATGCCTTGTGGGCTGCAGTAGCCGGCTTTGGGCTGGAGCGCTTTGCACTGATCTAGTAGTGACACTAATTAGAAGCCTATGTCCTAACTGACCCTTAGCAGACTGCAAGGGTTTTGTCACCTTGCATAGCACTGATTTCAAAATTGCCCATTACTCTGCCAGAACCTCAAAGGCTTACAAACCCCTGTTTTCCTTGGTTTGGTGGAACCGATCTGGCTTGGTCTCCCCTCCACGTTAGCAGAATAAAGCTTTTTGGCTGAAATAGCGCCTGGCTTGGGTCTTTCTCTCCCTTTCCACCGTCTCCCCAAACCTAACTTTTATTGGTACCCAATGGTGGGACAGGGTAGTTTGGCTTTCAGCCACCCAGGCTATGAACCTGGTGAAGCTCACTCTCTCTCTCTGCCCCCCACCCCTGGAACAGGGTCTGGGACTCGGGCAAAGGACTTTCTCTTGCAACCTGAGAAGGGATGGGCAGTGGCAGCACATTCCAGGCTTATTCTCGGATCCTGAGCAGTCCTTTGTCCCTACCCCCACCTGCCATCAACTCTCTCTCTCTGAGAGATCTCCCATGAAAAGGCGAGATAACTGAAGGCCATTGGCTGAGGCTACACCTCCTTACCATATAAAGGCCCCAGGATTGTTTGCCCCAGTAATCAGCCCCCAAAAGAGTGGAGATCTTTCTCTTCTGCTTCACCTCGTCTGTCCTGTCCTGAGACTTGAGCCAGCCGTTTTTCGCTGCACCTTCCATTGTTGATTCTTGCATCCAACACCGACTACTGATCTCTGCTTAGGTCAGTGAATTCTTGTTTCCCTCTCACTATGGGACCCTGCTCACTAACAGTCCAGGGCTGTCCTCAAAACCCAGCGCTCTCCTCTCAGCCACACTGGTGGCTAGGCATCTCCACACTTAGGGGCGCCTGGTGTTGTTGGTTTGCCTCTCACTCACAGATCCTCACAGATTTCCAGGGACGCCTGGTCTTCACTGAGGAGCTCAGGGACCTGAATTTCTCTCACCCCCCAAATTTACATTTCACATCCTGGGCAATCAGGCCTCTCCTACTACTCTCACCTGATATCCACCCAGAAGGACTTACTTTCTTCTGCAACACTGCCTGGCCACAGTACAAATTGGATAATGAAAGCCGGTGGCCAGAGCACGGCACTTTCGATTTCCAAATTCTTCGTAATTTAGAAAGTTTCCTCCATTGCAATGGAAAGAGGTCTAAAGTCTCCTATGCCCAAGCCTTTGTTTACCTTCGTTCTCAACCCTCTCTCCATCACTCCTACACTACTTTCCAGATACTTCTTTTATGAACTAAACCCAACTCTCCATCTTGCGTAACCACTCCCTGTCTTGGGTTGATGCTATGTGGTCCATGGCAAAACTGACCACTTTGTCACTGGATCACAAATCTTTCCACTTTGCATCAGGATAGACAAAGAATATACAGCAAATTAGGCTACATGCTCCCATCACACAGTCTTACAGGCAAAGGAAAAAAAGTTAAAAAGAGCCAGTCTATGGCAGGGTTTGTTTAGAAACGGGGGCTCATTTAGCAACATTGTATGTGTAACATTCTAAGATAAAGATGGAATGTGGGATATTTCCTGCAGTGATTAAAATAGTTTCAATTTATAGCCTGCAATGGAACTCAATAGCGAACACCTAGCCTAATGGTTGAAAAGTGTTGAAGAGTAACTACAGCAGCCAAACTAGTGGAGGCACAATAGACAGCCCTCTCCTTTCTGTAAAAAAAAATATTCCCAGTGATCTTTCTCCTACAAATATCCCATTTTGGTTTAATTCTGTGTGTTTGCAGTAAGATGGCTTTTGCTTGGAATGTTTCCTGCTGAGCTTAAAGTTTTCTTGGATAATTATTAGCTCCAAGAGCAACAGGAAATAGCAAACGGTGACCTTCTCCCCTTCTTTCCACTGGGTTTGGAAATCAAATCATAGATCATAGAAACAACATTTTTTAACAGAGACAGATAAGATGCCAAAAGACATTTTCAAACTTCTGTTCATTAAACAAAGCATGAAAGCTAGGAGACATGACTTAAGTAGCCCATCAGATTCAAGAAAAGGATTCGAGGACTCAGGGTCTGTGTAATTCAACCTCAGCTTAATTCCTGCTGTGTTATCTCTGGTGAAGGAGCCAAGGAAGGAAAAAAATGCCCCAAGGTTATTCCAGAGGCACAGGGACCCTTCTAGAATATCAGTTGTTAGGGGAAGGCTAGATTGGAAATTGAAAAAGCTAAATTCAGTCCCAAGTAAAAAGAAACAAAACGAGGCTCATATATCTTAAAGATATATCTTTGATTTGAATAGTTTGCAGAGGAAGCAAGATGACTCTACACAACAAATATTATCAGCATGACAATGTCTGTTGAGCAAAACTATTTGCACCAGTGGATGAGTCACTGACTTAAACAACATGTAAAACAGGCCTTTTCAGTATGGGGGAATGTTTTTGGGTCCTTGGATTTTTGTTGCAATGGTCTAGATAAAACACACCCGTGGAAAACAGTCTTGATTTGTTGAATGTAGGCATTAAAATAATATATATTGTCCTTGGCTTAATTTGGCATCCTTAAGTTAAGGAATCGAGGTTAAATGCTGAAGGATAGGCTCAAAGAGTCATGAACTTTATCATCAGTAATGGAACAAAAATCTGAGAAATGTCTGTCAATTTCAGCCTGCTCTGCTGTACTCATTGGCACAGGCAACCCAGGCGGTGCCAGTGGTGGCAGGATCGAGAAGACAAACTACCTCCCATGCCACAAGGTTACAGGTTGAACAAGCCTCTAACTCAACAGCTGTCTTGGGAACAGACTCCGCTGTCAGGGTCAGATTTGGCAATCTGCATGTGACCCTCCCCACTTTAAGATTCATCTGCCTGTCGCCGTTGGAAAAACCCAAATGGAACACCTTGAGGAGCAGACACTGTGAGAACCAAGTCCAGGTTCAGCAGCCAGAGGGAGAAATATACATGAAAACCACATGGTGAGTTTGGCCTTAATTGTTCATGAAAACTGGCTACATAAGCTTTCAGAGAAGGGCACGGGCACTTGCCCTGTTTCGATTTTATTCTCAGGCTAGCAACAAATCTCAGTGAAGGTGACTTTGGGAGGAGCTGAAAAGGGGAGCACTTTGAGGCTGAGGACCCGGCCCCTCTCCAGCCACCCTGGGAGCAACCACCTGCTCCACTCCTCTGCCTTCTGCCAAGAGCCCCGTGGGCTGCTAGAAGCAAAACCAAAAAGGAAGAATGGTGTCTGCTTGCCCACCTTGTCGAACGATGGTAGATGGCTCCCCGCCATGCAGACTGGCTCTCCCAATGGAAGGCTCGCCGATGTCCGTCCAGTAAACCATCTTGTCCACGCAGTCAAAGGCCAGTCCAATGATGACTTTAGCCTGGAAGCGAAGACCAGGGGTGAGAACAGACCACACACAGCACCCGAGTAACTCACGGTGGCAAGAATCTCTTCATGCACTCGCAGGTACTGGGAAATCTTTTCTAATAAAGTGTCTTCAAGTCTTTTGTCCATTTAAAAATTTTTATTATTGAGTTGTAAGAGTTCTTTAGATGAGGACACTTCAAAAAGTTCATGGAGGGCCGGCCCGGTAGTGCACTCGGTAGAGTGCGGCGCTTGGGAGTGCAGCGGCGCTCCCGCCGAGGGTTCGGATCCCATATAGAGACCGGTCCGCTCACTGGTTGAGCGCGGTGCGGGCCCAACACCGAGGGTTGCAATCCCATTACCGGTCACGAAAAAAGACAAAAAAGGAAAAAAAAAAAAAAAAAGTTCATGGAAAGATTCATGTTATCTTTTAGTTCTACTTTTTTCCATGAACTTTTTGAAGTACCCTGGTATATTTCAGATATAACTCTTTGTCACATATATACATATGTGGAATGTATGCATATGTATATTTCCTCTCATATGTAGCTTGCTGTTTCATTTTCTTAATGGTTTTTTTGAAGAGCAAAAATTTTAAATTTTTATTAAATTCAATTTATTATTTTTTTCTCTTATGGCTAATGCTTTCTATATACTGTCGAAGAAATATTTGCCTACCTGAAGGTCATAAAGAAAAATAAATAAAAGGCATAACTAGTGGAAAGGAAAAAGTAAAGCCACTCTATTCTAAGATAATCTGATTGTTTATGTACAAAGTCCCCAGGAACCTATAAAACTATTATAACTAATAATTTAATCTAGCAAGCTTGCAGGATACAAGGTTAATATGAAATTGTATTTTTAATATACTAGCAAAACATAAAAAATAAAATTTAAAAACAATAGTGATTATAGCAGCATCAAAAAACATAAAATATTTCAGAATAAACATTTTTAAATGTGCAAAATTCTGCACTGAATACTATAAAACATTACACAGTGAAATTAAAGGCAACCCAAATAAATAAAGAGGTAAGTTAGGTTAATAGATCGTAGGATTTAATATTGCCAAGATATCAATTCTCCCTAAATAGAGTTATAGATTCAAAGTCATCTTTATTGAAGTCCCAGCAGGCTTTTTTAAAAATAGAAATTTACAAGCGTATTCTAAAATGTATATGGAAAGGCAAAGGATCTAGAATAGTTGAAACAATCTCGAAAAAGAACAAAGTTGGAGAATTCACACTCCCTGATTTTGAGACTTACTATAATCAAGACAGTAAGAGATTGATGTAAGGTTAGAGAAATAGATCAATGCAACAGAACAGAGAAATAGGCCCTCACATACAGTAACATGTTTTTTGACAAAGATACCAAGGTGCCAATAGGGAAATATGGTGTTTTCAACAAATGATGCCAGAACATCTGGACAAACGTGGGGAAAAAAAGAATCTCAACCTGACCTTCCACAATAGGCAAAGATTTAAAGCTGAAACTATAAAGCTTCTAGAAGAAATCATAAGAAAATATTTTTGCACCTACCTCTCGAATCTGAAGATCTGTGATTTTCCCTATACCCAGGAAGTTTTCTGCTATTATTTCATTGAATATGTTTTCAAAGCCATTTCCTATTTCCTCTCCTTCTGGAATACCCATGATTTGGATGTTTGAGCACTTAAGTATGTCTATTATCTCTCTTAGATTTTCTTCAATTTTTAAAATTCTTTTTTCTGGTCTGCCTGGGTTAATTCAAACAGCCTGTCTTCAAGGTCAGAAATTCTCTCTTCTGCTTGTCCTAGCCTGCTGGTCAGACTCTCTGTTGTGTTTTTATTTCAATGAATGAATCCTCCAGCTCCACAAGTTCTGCTACGTTCTTTTTCAAGGCATTTATTTCTTTGTGCATTTCTTCTTTCAGATCTGATATATTTTTTCTCATTTCATTTTGTTGTCTGAGTTTTCTTGTATCTCATTTAGTTTCCTTAGAATTGTTGCTCTAAATTCCTTGTCAGTCATTTCAAAGACTTCCTATTCTACAGGATCTAGAGCTTGAGAGTTATTATTTTCCTTTGCCAGTGATGTGCTTTCTTGATTTTTCCTATTTATGGTCTCTTTCCTTTGGTGTTTTGTCATTGTGGCAGGGGGTATCACAGTCTACTCATTTCACCCTGATGTCTGGCTTGTATCCTGAAGGGACTGCCAAGTCTGGGCAGCAGGAAATAGCCTGGGCTGGGGTTCCCATGGCACCTGCATGTTCTGGCACAGCTGACTTGGGGCCTGTGGGTCTTATGGCCCTCAGGCCTCTCTGGGCAGCAGGGACTGACCTGGGTTGGGGCCAGGGTCTGCCTGTTCTAGTGCAGCTGACTTGGGTCAGCAGCTCTCAGGCCTTTCTGTGTGGCAGGGACTGGAGTGAGCTGGGGGTTACACATCACCTGCTTCTTCCAGCGTTGCTGACTTGGGGCATGTAGACCCATTGGTTCTCAGGCCTCCCTGTGCAGCGGGGACTGGCCTGGACTGGGAGTCCCATGGTGCCTGCCTCTTTTGGCACAGCTGACTCAGGGAGTGTGAGCCTGGTGGCTCTCGGGCCTCTCAAAGCAGTGGGGGCTGACCTGGGCTGTAGGTCCCGTGGCGCCTGCCTTTTCCGTTGTGGCTGACTCGGGGTATGTGGGCCCTACAGCTCTCAGGCCTCTCTGGGTGGCAGACATTGGCCTGGACTGGGGTCCCATGGTGCAGAGCTCCTGCCTGTTCCAGCACAGATCTCGGGCCTCCTGTTGTTGCTTTTTAATAGTTGCATATCGGTCAATTTGTGGGAGAGGGTGACACTAGGAACCATCTACTCCACCAAGTGGTTAAAATGGTTAAAAGAAAAAGACAAGACAGCGAACCCTTATCCTGTTGTTTTGGCACCCTCCCCCCTCCTATCCCACCTCAATTCTCTGCCTTTTATGGCCTTTCATGACATTTAGCCTCTCCCCTGGGTCTTGGGGAAGAGTGACTTTCACAGGGACTTTAATCCATCTACTACCTGAGAGCATGTGCTGGAGGCCACAAGGGAGCCAGATGAGGATCCTTGAGGGGTTTGTGTTTTGGGCATGTGATAGGAAAATGCAACAATCATTCATGTATCTGGTTGGCAAATATTTTTTGAATACCTCCCCATGTGCCAAGCACTGCTTTGAGTCTATAAACACCACTGTGAAACCAGTACCTCCATGAAATAGATGGATCTGGGAATGAGGGAGGGTGGCAGGGAATGGAGTGGGAGAGGTAGCCTGAGGCCAGATCCTAGAGGGCTTTGAGGACCATGGGGAGGACTGGATTTTATTGGAGAGAAGAGGGAACCCACTGAAGAGTTTCATGCAGGAGAAAGACACGAATCTGATCAAGGCTGTTTTGTAAGAGGCTTTTGAAAAATGTTTTTTCTTGGATACATTTGGCTGATGTTTCCTCCTTGGACAAAAAGAGGCAAAATGACAGTGGATGGCATCTGTGATGGGGAGATCAATGCAGAGAGAGAAAATACGGGAAGCAGAGACACCCTGAAGGCTGGCCAGTGGCAGGCACAATGACATAAGTAGCATCTTTACCAGGCACTGTCCATCAGGCTCTGCTGCCACCATGGAGGAACGCTAGGGCTTCTGCTGGACTTTCATTTACAAGAACCAATGACTTGGCCCCAGACTCTCCCAGACCCTCGTGTCCCCTCCCACTGCCCCAGCAACTCTGACCTAACCCCACAGTGCAAGCCCCCAGGTCTGTTAGGTTTCTTGGCAGCAGGCAGGATGGCAGATAAAACAGAATGGATTTTCAGAAGTGTCCAACCTCCATCGAATGACAAAAATCCCCAACTTACAAAATGCATCTTTGTAGCTTTGTAAAGCCTATAAGCCAAAGCTTGTTGCTACCTCAGGGCAGACATGAGGTTCTTGAGCTCAGTGGCTGTTGAAAAATGAGTCATCATGACTTAGGCAGGAATGGTAAGACCAAACCCAGTGGACACATGCAGACAAGGCACCAAACTCGCAGAAGCCCCACTCAGGGGGGTCTCTGGAAGGTCTTCCTTTCTGCGAGCCTCATGGAAGCTCAAAAGCCCAGTGGCTTCATCTAGAGTTGGACACCAGGGCCATGTGGAATGAGCACCTCTGGTGCCAGGGATCAAGCCCAGGGTCTTGGGCTGACTACACCCTGCTGTTTCTCCAGGTCATGGGAGCAGGAGCTGTCACCAGGTACCATCAGCCAGCACTCACCGGGATATGAAGTAATGCCTTGGCTTCCGTCTTCTTCATGGTAGTTCCCTCCAGGGGGAGATGCTCAATCTTCCCAGTCTGGGCAAAGAGGAGGTGGGTCCCAGGGGGCAGGGGGATCACAGCAGTAGGCACTGAGGGTCCCTGGTGAATGGGGGGAGCCACTGTACTCAGACCTAGGGTGGCAGGAGAGGTCAGTGAATGAGGCCTGTGCACACCAGGAATGTGCAGATACATACACATAGGTGCATGCACACAAACACATGCACACACATAAACAATGCACACGTGTGCATACATGCAAAGTACATACATACCCACACATGCATATGCATACCTCTATGCACACACACACACATGCACGTACACGTGCACACACCTACATGTGCGCACACACATATGTACACACACCCACATGTGCGCGCACACATACGTACACACACCCACGTGCGCGCGCACACATACGTACACACACCCACGTGTGCGCACACACATACGTACACACACCCACATATGCACACACACATACGTACACACACCCACACATACAAGCACACACCCACACCCCAGGTCACGTCACTTTGATGGCACGAAACTACACAGCCACACAATGCCCATTTAATATCTGAAAGCCCCTGGAGCAGAAAGTCCTGTCAATCTAAGGGCATTTGTGGAGAACATAATGCAGAGCATGAGTTTAACATTAAAGGCCAAGTAAAAAAATGGCTCAGCCTCCCTCTTGTAGAAATCACTCAGCTATTCATGTTCTGCCTTGGACACTGGGGCTAGAGCAGTGAACCAAAACAGCAGCAGCAACAGCCACAGCAGCAGAAGCTACAGTCACAGCAGCAATAATCACAGCAGCAACAGCAACAGCAACAGCAACAAAAGTCACAGCAGTGGTAGCGACAGCAACAGCATCAACAGCCACAGCCACAGCAACAACATCCACAGCAGCAGCAACAATCACAGCAGAACAGCCACAGAAGCAGCAACAGCAGCAGCAACAGCCGCCACAGCAGTAACAGTCACAGCAGCAGCAGCAGCAACAGTCACAGCAGCAGCTACAGCAGCAACAGCAGCAACAGTCACAGCAGCAGCAATAGCCACACCAGCAGCAACAGCAGCAACAGCCGCAGCCACAGCAGCAACAGTCACAGCAGCAGCAATAGCCACACCAGCAGCAACAGCAGCAACAGCCACAGCCACAGCAGTAACAGTCACAGCAGCAGCAACAGCCACAGCAGCAGCAACAGCAGCAACAGTCACAGCAGCAGCAACAACAGTCACAGCAGCAGCAACAACAGCCACAGCAGCAGCAACAGCCACAGCCGCAGCAACAACAGCCACAGCAGCA